GATATCATCAGATTCTACTGATTTTTCACCATTGATTTTCTTTAAAGCATCTTCCACTTTTTTACTAATGTGATAGTAAAAATAATTTTTTTTATTATTATTAACGATATTAAAATCATTAAGGTCGATTTTATTTTCAGAAATTTTATTAAAAAGTTTATCAAAATAATTCACCCATCTATATTAAATTTCTTCTTCTAAGAAAAATATTTTTTGATTTTCATCTTTAATACATTTTACTTAAGTTAAATCTTTACTTTTATTTTCTCTTTATATTTTCTCTCTTTACTTTTATTTTCTCTTTATTTGGCTAGTTTATAGATATATTTTTCATCATCTTTAATATATATTCTTTTGTAAAGATCACTAAAAACATATTTTTAAGCGTCACAAATTATTCTCTTAGACTCTCTACAGACAATCTTATATTTTTTTCAGCTCTCTAAGCTTTTACATTTAAACCAATTTTTATAACACAACATTCTATGTTTTATCTTTTCTTGCACATTTTTATTCCACAACCAACTATTTTTATTTATAGAAATTTTTTCTTTTGAACTTCCAAGTACATCATTTCACGTGTTTAATAGTATATTGTTAATTTATCCCACATAGAATTTGTTTCTATCTAAACAATTCAAATCTTAAAATCTTGAAGTTTACTTATAAAATTAATTTTATTTGCAACTTTTAGGTGTCTCCATTTAATTCTATGATAATGATTCCTAGTATTCTTTATCTGACAACTCTTCATCTTAAAATGTAGAGCTAATAATCGATGTTGAGTGCTTAAATTATCACTTGGAATGATTTTACAATATTTATGTTCTCGATGATCTCTTTTTTTCATAAAAAAAATAATCAATTTGTGCTATATTAGATTCATTCTTCTAAGTAATAATATGTTCATCTCTTTTCTTAAATAAAGTATTAGCAATAATAAAATCATACGCTAAAACAATAACTCTAAAACCATAGCCACCTTGAATATTTCTAAAATCTTCTACCATTTTACCAACATGTCCATTTAAATCTCCTTCAATAAAAATTCTTTCTTCAAGATGTATCATTTTTATTAAGTCTTCTAGTTCAATCCTGAATTTGCCATTTTTTTATTTTTCTTTAGAACCTATATCTAATTTTACTTGAGTATAAGCACTTAAAACATTAAAAATCTTAGTATCAACAACAATCTTAAGAGTTGTAATTCTATCTCCAATTCTATTAATTTTTACAACATTATCTTTCAAACTTTTATCGATAATTACACCTACACCATTTCTAGTGCAATTGTTACCTGAATACCAAAGTTTAAAACCTAAACTATCAATCTCTTTAGACTTTTCTCCAACCCATTTAGTTTCTTGAATGCACAAGATGTTTATCTTCCTATGAACCATAACATCAACTAATTCTATTAATTTACATGAGATAGTATCTATACTAACTTCTTTACCTGCATCCATCCATAATGTGGGGATTCTTGTTTATTTAACAATACACACAGGTGTTGGTGTAGCGGCCCTTGCACATTTTTCATTGTATTCAGATCATGCAACGCGTCGCTTCTAGGTGAAGCCCTAGAATTTGCACAAGTATCTAAAAGAATTCATGTCATGATTTTTCGATAAATTTTATGTTGGTTGTCGACTACCTAACGCAATCCTCTACTTTCAACATCCGGGACTTGAGACTCGGCAAAGATAGTGTTCACATAAGCATAGAGAAAGACTCTAAAAAATAATTTGATGCCCTTTAATGCCCCTGCAGCAATTCCCTAAAGAATTGAAGTTGGCAGCCACAATGATTTGAGTGCGAACCGGCTAACGTTCAATTCACAGCGAGATTGGCATTTAATATGGCTGTAAACTTAAAGTGAAATTAGAATATTTGGTGCAGGATGTATTAATGCCTCATTCAGTTCTATCTACTTGGCTTCCTTGGCAAAATAGAGAAGTCATGGTTGTAATAGAGGCAAGTGAAGTCCACATGGGATAGTCGCAGCTAAGGACTGAATGTACGTAACTTCTCTTCTGATGCATTGCCAATGTGTATTGGAAACAAAGGCGGACCTGGAACCAAATGGCGTTACTAGAGAACGAATTACTGCAGATATTGTTACTCAGATTTGAGCAGAGGGACAAAATCATATGCTTTATTGGATTTTCATTTGGAGCTTGTTGAGCGTGGTCCATTTCCGTATCAATAATACATTTTAACAACATGGTATAACATATATAAATTGGGAACTAATTGGAATTACATGTAGACATTGTCCCCCATCTTTTCTCAAGTAACAAGGCATGGAACACCGCCAAATTATGGATACTTAAGTCACTATAATGACGGATGCGAAGGACAGCTGATCAAAAACACGTCTTAGGGGTTTCAAGATGATAGCCCAAGCAGAATCCAAAATGACATTAAATTGACAGAGTTTCTCCAAATCTAGGGCAAATAATTCTTATCTATAATCAACGAACACATTTGTTAATATAAAACAAATTTTTAAACTTAAACTAATAATGTACACTGCCACTAACTACATCAAGAAGGATGAAGAAGATATAAAAGAAAAACAATGAGAAAAGCAAACAACACGCTTATGAGCATTTACGGACATGATAATATCTATTGGGGAAACTAACCAACAAAACGAACTTAACAAAGATTACAAAACTAAGCCACTAGAAGAGTTGAAGCAATACTGCTTAGTCTTATGAAATAAATAGGCATACCCACAAAATAAAAAATGAGGTCACCAACAGATGAGCACTTAGTATAAAAATCGGGATAAGTGATAAAAGCACTTATATATTAACTCTGCCATTCCACTCTGTCTGCCCTTCGACTTACAAAACAGACACCTCCATGTGCTATTAAATCCAGATCGTTCACTCTCAACCAAATGCACTTCCTAAGAGCACCTGTAATTAAATCCACCTCTACCTCAGTACAGATTCCGTCTTTAGTACTTTATTTAATCAGTTATAGAGTGAACTACATATACGCTATAGCTATGTCACATATATTAATACTTTCACATAGTGAAATGAATACTTGATACTATAACTTCGTCTTTCTTCTTTGTTAACTTCTGTTGTCAAATACTGTTTCTTCATGGTATCAGAGATTCTTTGCTTGGCAGCACCCATAACCCTTTAATTCATCCTATACTTTACCACCAATCATGGATGATTCAATGACTTCTTCAGCTACACAGCCCAATTCTTGTCCCATTAGCTTAAAAAAGAGTGAAGCCAAGATACCACCGGCTTTAAAGGTTTTAATGTCCAACATTAAGAACATTATGATGTCCTGTTTACTGTCCAAAACTACCCATCTAATGACTTCAGGTTCTCAAAATCTTCACCGCTAATGGAGACCTTGGTTTTCTTACAGGAACCATGGTGTGCCCAAGATACCAAACTTTGATCACTAATGGTTGTACTATACCTAATCATGATTACACTATCTAGCTTCTACTTGATCAGAATCTAGCCGGAGTGCTCTACTCTATCATCGCTTCTTCAATTCTCCCTTATGTTATAGATATTCACTCATGTTTTGACATCTAGATCACCCTTGAAAAACTTCTTTAACCCACCAATTGATTCAAAGTCATACAACTCAAAATAAACTCCATAGCATCAGACATTATCCTCCATAAAATCTCTTGTGGACAATATAGTTACATCAGGATCATGAGTTGACAATGAGGAGATTATTCCTGTATATTCTTAATGGCCTACCATCTCAATATCAAGCTTTCAAGACAGCTAGTAGGACTACCCTCACTCCCATCAGTCTAAAAGATCTATATTCTTTAATGTTATGTGAGGAAATTAATATTCAAAATTAGCACGCCACAAAACATGCTCTTATAGACAATAATCTAGCTCTGCAAGAGGTCGTAGCACCTCCTCCAACAGAGCACGAGGAGAGATATATCCACATAGAGGATTGTCAGTCTCTTTCAGATCTTAATGCCAACTGAACACCTCTCTAATTTGTCAAATGTGAGAAATCTAGAAACATAGTACAGTTGCCAGCTGGCATCACTATAATCTGAACTACAATTTCTTTCTTTCTCTCTTAATTCGCAGCAAGTAACCTTTATAACTAATCAGCAACCCCCATCAGAGGAATGGCTTCTGGAAACAAGCGCTACAACCTACTAACTCGTCATTTCAGTAAATTACAACAACCAATTCCTTATGAAGGAATTGATGAAGTTTTGGTTTGCAATGACGCAGCTCTTCAAATTGCTAATAGTGGCCATGGCATACTTCCTACTTCTACTCGTGAGCTTCATCTCTCAAATCCTTTTTAATGTTCCCAGCTCTCTCATAACCTCTTGTCCATCAACAAACTAACCACTGATAATAATTGTTATTTATTTTACTCCTACGGCTACTCCATGAAGGACTCCGTGACCAATCAAACTCTCTTGTCGTGTAATAGTCATAATGTCTTGTAACCCAGTCACTCCTGCAAATTTAAACGGATGTCCCTCAGTTTTCATCACCAAATGCTCATCACAGCTGTGGCATAATTGTTTTGATCATTTCCATTGTCTCAAATTTTCAAATATTGCAAACTTATACAAAAATTTATGTATTCCAACGTCATCTTAATTCTGTAATTCATTTCAGTCGGCTAAGAGTCATAGACTACCTTTTCAAAATAATATAAATCATTCTTATAATTGTTTAGAATCAATTCATACCAATGTTAGGGAACCTTTTACAACTTCTCAAGGAGGATATATGTGTGTGTGTGTGTGTGGGTGGGTGGGTGCTCGCGCGCGAGAGACTCGGCTCATTGGTGCGTCAGGAATGGATCAGGAAAAAAAAATGCTTGAATTGTTATGGATTTACATTCCATTTGTTTTCATTTTGTAACCTTATCAATTCTTTTGGGGCCATCCTCATTAATTATAAATTTATTTGGACACCAGATGCAGTTAAGTTATAATTATATTCCCTTCTTGTTTACAGGCGTATACTCATTTTGACATGAAGCACGAAACTGCGTCCCTACTTGAATCGCGTTCTATTCAACACATGCACCGTTGGTTGTCCCACCCTGACAGAGACCGCCAAACCGAAGAACTTCTCGAAGCCATGCGCTTCCTCATTGAGGCTGCTGAAGTTTTCTCCACCATTGATGCAGGACACAAAGCTCGCCATGCTTGTGCCCGAGCCGCCCTCCTCTTCCTTCAGATTCGTATCCCAGACCTCACCTGGATTGAGCTCTCAGAAACAAATGCCCGTCGAGTTCTCGTAGAGCAATCCCGCTTCCAGGTTGCCCTTGTTGTTGCAGAAGCCTATGGTCTAAACCAACCAATGGAATGGGCCCCTGTTCTATGGAACCAAATGCTGAGGCCTGATTTATTGGAAGACTTTGTGACTGAATTTGCACTTGTCCTCCCCATGCATCCATCCATGCTTCTCGAGTTAGCGAGATTTTATCGGTCCGAGGTGGCTGCAAGGGTTGATCAGTCCCATTTTTCTGTATGGCTTTCGCCGGGTGGTTTGCCTGCTGAGTGGGTTAAGCATCTTGGAAGGTCATTTAGGAGTTTGCTCAGGAGGACAAGGGATTTGAGGCTGCGGGTTCAGTTGGCAACAATGGCTACTGGTTTTGAAGATGTGATCAATGCCTGCATGAAGGGCTTGGATAAAGTGCCTGATAATGCAGGTCCACTCATCTTGAGGAGAGGCCATGGGGGAGCATATGTTGCCCTCATGTGAACTTCATTGCCACTTTTCGCTATAAGATTATCCCCCACACACACATTATTACATACCCAAAGGTTTTATTTTGGAAATTATTGCACATTCTTGCGCAAAGGACAGCTATTTTCTTTGGACAGGATGTACAGAAGGTGTATTCGCGCAGTAGGAAGAAAGGGGAAATATGGGTTCGGGTGAGTTCTTCCTTTCTTTTTGCTGTCGATTCTGGCAATCTACTGGAGGTATGTTTGTAATTATACAAATTTTGCTTTCGAATTTAGAGCAATTGTATTTAAGAAAAAAAAAACGATTTGTTGGAAATAGTATGTAATAAAGTTTTGATTGGTCAAGAGTATTTATTGAAAAAACGTACCGTGTATAAAATATAGTGTGAATGACCTGACTCATTGGTGCGGCCTCTGGCGCAAGTCCCTTGGATCTGGGGTTTGAATCCCGTGGTGTGGGCTCTTCGAATCAGAAGCAAACACCCTTTGAGGAATCGATATTTGGTGTCCACTGGACCAAAATATTGATTTCACTTATATATATATATATTAACGCATTCTTCTTTTTTTTCTGGCACATTTGAAAAAATATAGAAAAAGAAAGCATTTTTTTAAAATAATTTGCATGTATAATGATTATATGAGTAATATTTAAATTTGATGTCAGTTTTTATTAAAAGTAATTGCATAGTATTTGTAAGGATTTTGAAAAATAAATGTATTTCAAGGAAAAACATATAAAAATTTGTCACATATATTTGATTAAATTTATTAAAAGTTCTCTTAAATTAAAAAACAAATACATCTTTGTTTTGTTTGTTTGTTTTTTTTTTATTTTGGGGTTTTTTTTTGCACTTTAATTATTAATATTGTTTTTATTTTTTATTTTTTTCGGCGTTTGCTCGGGTTGTATGCGATTGAAATCGTCTTTGCATGAGCACGAATATACATTGCATGACTAGATAAATGATTTGATTTAATATTTATTTCAGTTTTAATTGAATTAAGAAATTTTTGCTTTTGCTGATCATGATTTAATTGTGCTTGTGATTTTGATTTTTTTTTTTTTTGTTTGTTAATATTTTAAAATTATGAAAATGAACATTTAATTAAAGTTCAAAATTTTAATTATTCTTCGGCTGGAGATTTGTGGCAGAACTTTGATGATTACTATTTGTGGAAAACAAATTCAAACAATAAACAAATAATCAAACTGCCATTTATGTGATTTGGCAAATTTGTCTGTGTCCATGGGTCTATGTCTATGGGAAGAGGTAATTTCTCAATCAAAATGTGTGAAGAAGAGAAAAATTAGTTTAATTAGAATTACAACTCAATACTCACTCCAAAACATTAGTAACTCCTACAAATGAGGATTATGACAAATAAATTTGATATATTTTATTATAAGAAGTATCATATAATTAGATATTCTCTATTTATGTTCCATAATATGGAAAGATAATATAACTTCAGTCTTCGTGGCTAAAAGTTCAAATGCAACATGATCCCTCAGCCAAGCTGATTTTGGATTATTATGGTGATTGGTCTTGTTCTTTGCAATAGATTATTGAGCAAGACCTTACCCTAAACATCTTCTTTCACCTCTTCATGAGCACTATCAATAGGTACCTTTTGAGTTGCAAATTAATGAAGTAACTAGGTAGGAGTGGACGAACATGTAGAATAAATAGAAGTAACTAGGTATCTTTTGAGCTTCTGCTGTATATTTGTGTTCCCAATAAAACTCTCCATCGCTTCGAGTTACAAGGCTTCAACAAGCTCGCCTCATCAAATTTAATGTTTCTACTAATGAAAATCTTCTTCTCTGTCTGGTCATAAAATTTGAAACCCTTGACTCCACACCTCAAGCCAATGAGAGCACATTATTTACTCTTAGTTCCAGTTTATCGTTCTGTACGTGGTAATGTATTGAATGCCTAAGCACTCTCATGTACTCAAAATCTATGGCACGATGTCTCAACCACATCTTCTTTAGGATATTATTTTCAGTAGTTGTGGAAGGCAGATGATTCACCAAGTGACAAGCATAGTTTATGGCCTCGGTCCAGTAGACTATTCAATCAAGCATTGCAAAAATTACATCTAAATTTCTCCACAAAATTTTGGTTCATCCTCTCTGACACCCCCATTTTGTTGTGTCGTTTCTCAAACAGTGAAGTGGTGCTCTATCCCAGCTCTTTGGAATATGATATATTGGATCTTTTTTTATTAGTTTGAGTCTCAATCCACTTCTTCCAAGTTATAAAAATCTCCAATACCTCACTTTTGTGCTTCATAGTGTAAACCTAAGTAAAATAATCATCGATGAAAGAGATAAAATATCTCTGCCTGCAGAATGATGTTGTCGTCGGGCCCCAAATTATTATGGGTAGCAGTACCGAAGGATACTCGTGTCACTTGGCAAATACATAATATTCACATAAATTAAGTTTGCAGGTGCGCTCTTTTGATTAATTATTGTTTCACAATGCTTAAAGTGAAGCCTCTCTAGCATGATCTAATCACATATGTCATAATGTAGTGATAGCAAAAGAAACATTAGCAAAAACAGACATTCCAGTCACTATACTACCTTTTGTGATGGTGTACTTTCTTCATAAAAATGAGTGGTCTGAGACATATCCTCAGAACTCTTAACTCAATAACTACTTTGTAGCCCTTAGCCTCCAAGGCCCTAACTCATAGCAAATTCTTTTTTATTTTGGAACATGTCTAACAACAATCAGCTCACTAACAGTACACCCATGCATGCTAATAAAGATATTGTCTACATCAATAGTAAGACAAGCTTGATCATTGTTCGTATTCACTACACTATTATCTAGCTTATTGTACATACATAATCACTCTCAATGGGGACAAATATGATAGGTAGCACTTGTGTCTAGAATCTAACGTGAATAATCTGTATATAAATTGTGAGAAATTATAGAGAAAGATGCATCTGAATATGCCTCATCACTCTTCTCTACAATAAGATTGGTTTTTGCCTCAAAGGAACCTCTATTTCCCTACTCATTCAACTTCGAATAATCTTTCTTCTAATAATCAATCTCTAATTAGAAAGCACATAGGTTTTTTTTTCAAGGCTACATCGATGAGACTTGTTCCGTTTTTTAGAATTATTGCCACTGCCACCCTTCTTTGCTCCATTTTTAGTTAATTAAATACTCTAGAAGTATTTAAATTTTTAAAAATTAAATATAAACCAAAAAAATATTAAACTTTTTGGGATTATTCCCTCCACCCTTGGGAATATTTCTTGATTTTTCTAAGGTTAGGGGTCTTCTCTAACATTGAAATGACCAAGTTCCTATCAAATTTATAATTATTTTGTGGAATAATTATAAAAAATCTGAAAATGAAGAATTAAAAAAGAAAATTAGCTGGGAAATTTAGGGTAATAAAATTAAACCTTAAAATGATAATTTCCACACTTAAAATTTCTAAAAATGAAAATTAGAAATCTAAGGGTAAAAATGTAAAATTAAAAATTCTACACTTTGGCTCAATTTGTCCCTTAAACAAAATTTAAATCATTAATCCAATCTTAGGGGCTTAACCTAATGGGGTTTTCAGGATTTGATAGCATGGTTATCCCCTTAACCATGAAACACCCTTAATGACCTAGGGATAGCCCAATTTAAGCTTGGGTTTAGTTTAGGTCTAATCCAATTTAAACCTAAGAGGACCCACAATTGCACCCCATCCAATTGAGGTCAATTCTGGGTTCTAGTCAAATTTTTCTTAGCTCATGTCGAATCTTTTAGGTCTAACCTAAATTAGACCTAAGCCCTAAACCTTTTAGGTATAACCAAAATAGACCTAAAACCCTAAACCTTTTAGCTCTAATATAAATTAGACCTAAACTCCAACCTTTTAGGTCTAACCTAAATTATACTTAAACCCTAAACCTTTTAGGTCTAACCTACATTAGACCTAACCCTAAATTAGACCTTGAACCTAAGCCCTTTAGGTTTAACCCAAATTTGACCAAACCACAATCAGAATTGCACTAAGTTTAACTTAGCTTAGACTTAGACCTAAACATAAACCCTATTACTAACCTAAATTAGACTTAGACCTAACTTAAACATATAGTTCTAACCCCCATTAGACTTAAACCTGATCCAACCCCTTGGATCCCTTATTAGACCTAATCTAAACCCTAGATCTGACCCAAATTAGATTTAGACCTAACTTAAACCATCTAAGTCTAACCCACATTAAACATAACTTGAACCCTAGGTCTAACCCAAATTAGACCTAAACCTAACTTAAGCCTTCTAGGTCTAACCCTCATTAGACCTATACTTGGTGCAACCCCTTTCGTCTAACCCATATTAGACATAACATAGACCATAGTTCTTACCCAAATTAGAACTAGACTAGAACTAGACCTAACTTAAACGTTCTAGGTCTAACCCCCATTAGACCTAGACCTGATCCAACCCCTTAGGTCTAACTTATATTAGACCTAATCTAAACCTTAGGTTTAACCCCAATTAGACCTAGACCTAACTTAAACCTTCAAGGTATAACCCACATTATATTTAACCTAAACCCTAGGTCTAGCCCAAATTAGATCTAGACCAAACTTCAACTGAAGGTCTAACCCATATTAGACCCAATCTAAACCCTAGGTCTAACTCAAATTAGACCTAGACCTATCTTAAACCTTCTAAGTTTAACCTAAACCCTAGGTCTAACCCAAATTTGACCTAGACCTAACTTCAACCTTAGGTCTAACCCATATTATACCTAATCTAAACCATAAATCAAACCTAACTTTGACCTCATCCAAACTCAGGTCTAACTCATATTAGACATAACCTAAACCCTAAGTCCAACCTAACTTTGGCCTAGCCCAAGCCCTTTATGTCTAACTCAAAATAGATTTAACTTCAACTATAATGTTTAGGTCTAACTGAACTTAGATCTAATTTCAACTTGAACTTCCCTGAGGTCTGGCCTAACCAAAATATAGCCTCAGTCTAACCTAAATCAGACTTAGTTTGACTTAGTTCTAACTCAACTTAGACTTAAAATATGACACAAATTTATTTAGATTTAACTCAACTTAGACCTAAATTCACCTTAGGTCACTTTAGATCTAACCTACACTAGATCTAAACTTGAGACATCCTAAGTCTAACCCAACTTAGACTTAATTCAACTTGAATTTTCTTTAGGTCTAACCCAACCTAAACCTAGCCTAAGTCCAACCTAACCTGGACTTAGTCAAACATAAATTCCATTGGATCTAAATTAACTTAAACCTAGAACAATTAACTCACCGGGTTAACCCAACCTAACTCAGATTAAACCAATTCAACTCA